TAACCGGATGAAACAATGATATATATATGCACAACTAGTTCAAATAATTCCCTCCTCTTAAGAATAATTAAATAGCCCCTGTGTATCATCTAGGTATTTATTCATTCTTCTTCTGCATTGATTTATAACAAAGTATAACATTTTATATTAACAAGGTCAACTGTTTCCATTCATTGTAGGCGCTTGTTTCATGTCACACACGCACACATACACGTACACATACATACGGTCAGCTGTTTTATACAATATATAACCATGTGTAGATTAGTAGTCAAGTCATTATTATTGTACATCAGTTTGTATTGTTTTAATTCAGTTATGGGTTTGGTCACAAGCTAATATCAGCATTACGCACCACCACCCCCAGGGTTCGGACTCAGAGATATCTAGTTACAACAAGGTGAGCTCATTGATCATTCAGCTATTGGGATCCGACCCGATCCAATGGCTTACCAATTTCAACTTCTGCTAATTCGCTATAGATAGCGTCTCCACCCCTCCGCCGCAGCAAATGTTATCGGCGAGTAAAGAAGGTAAGTCAATCGATTAAGATGGCGAGGACACGTGTTGCGCATACCGAGAACCGCTGTCTTCCTTGACAATCATTGTCAGCTGACACAGAATTACGTCGAGAAAGAGTTAGGGTTGGTTACACACAAAAAAAACTGGAACCAATCCAAGAAGTTTTTGACAGTTGCTTTGAGCCAATCATGTAGAAAGGTGTAGACTGTCTAGTTGGAGTCTTTAGGATGTTAAAAAAAGCCTAGAGCTGGAGAGTAAAGGTGACATGGTTAAAAATAGTTTTTTATGTCGAAGATGCACTCATTGTTTGTATTCTGTCAAGTCCATTAAGTCCTTATGTTTCTACTCTTCCTTCAGTACATTTCTGATCTCGTTATTATTATTATTGTTCCCTTGGGTTCCTAGTGGCACATAGGGCTTCAACTACACGTCTCCACTTGCTTCTGTCTTCTGCTGTACTTTTCACCTGCGTCCATGTTAATCCATACTGTTTCAGCTCCTCTTCACACGATCTCCTCCATGTCACCCTTGGACGTCCCACTCGCCGCTTCCCTTTCAGGTTTCACTCGAGCGTTGGCCTGACGCGCAATGTCACCCAGAGGCCTCCTCAATGAGTGTCCAATCCATCTCCACTTTCTCCTGCATATTTGTTGAGCGATTGGTTCTTGTTTTGTTTCTTCCCATAGTTTCTTGTTGGTGATTCTTTCCGGCCATCTGATCTTCAGTATAGAACGAAGACAGTTGTTGTTGATAAAGGTCTGCAACAGGCTGTTGGAAATATTCCTTGTGACCCGCCAAGTTTCTGATCCGTACAGAAGAACTGATTTGACGTTTGTATTGTATCGCCTAGATTACTAGCTCACTAGTTTTCTAGCCGGTCCCAAACCCGGATAAAGAGGGAGGGTTGGGGCGTGGTGCTAGCAACTCTACCGCCAAAACTTAACCAAATTGTTGCAGAAACTTCAACGCACAAATATATTGAAAATTCTAAAAATATTGATCTCGTTATAGTTCTTCTTAATTTTTTCTGTTTTCTACGTGTGTGTGCTACTTGGAGTGTAACAACTTGAACTGGTGCACCTCTCTGTGCACAGTTCAACAGTGAAACTCATTCACAATCAGTATTAGCCAACAGTACGTCCAGAGAAGACGGAAGGTTAAGCATGAGAGACTAGGAACCCCATAACCTATAAAAACAGCACCAATGCGGTTGAAACTTCCCAGTAAGAACGCAAAGGTATACAAGCAGAAGAAAATTATTTTCTGTATTTTCTAAGATAGTCGACATCTATAAACATACAGATAGTGAAAAGGAGGAAGTCATGAAATCATTGACGTCGGACAAAATTTGAAAAAAAGCAAAACAACCGTGACATTCATTACCAGGAAATAAGAAAAAAGAATAATAAAAAAAGACTGCTGTCATCGACAAGACAGATTATGTCACAAACATGATCAAAGACACGTGAAAAAAAAGACTCTAAGAAGGTTAGTCGAATTCCCAGGTTTACTACTATTCTTGATCTACACATATTCCATATTATTATTATTATTATTATTTCAAATATTGTGCACTATACCTGAACAACGATTCAGCAACACTTTTGAGAGAAATTGACACGTAAACATAATGTCAAGTGTATTTTGAACTAAATCCTTTGTAATATTTAACTAGTGTGACTTCTGGTAATTTAGGAATGTCGAATAAAAACTCCATTATGTGAATTTCACATTCGCAGACAGAGACATACAAACATGGAGAGTAAAATCACATCATCAATGTGAAAGTAAACTACTTGTCACCACAACATACTGTAGAAACAATAATTATCATCAATGGGCACGGAAGTCAAAATTATCGACTATACGGAAACACAGTTTAAATGAATGCTAGTCTTTATTACTCTCAGATGATGGAATTACTGAATAACTTTCACATAATTATCATAATACTACATTTTTTTCATGTGCTTTCAAGGTTCTGTGGAGTGACTGGATGGATTTTCCAGAGCCATCTAGTAAAATAGGCAAGGTTTCGATAATAATAATAATAATTTGCTTTATTCCAAAACAGTACTTGTGATACAGAATGAAATTTTCAGCATTTTTACTACAGTATTGCATCCACTTAGTACATTATCAATAAATAGAATCCTTCATAGATTAAGGAAATCTCAGTTCATTATTACAACAATACATTGGCATGTCAGTAGCAAAGGTAAAGCTGAAACAGTGTTTGAAGGTGTTAGAAAAGTGGGAGCTGTCTTATTAACAGGCGTAAGCGAGAGAAAGAGACAAAGCAGCACATAACAGGAAAAGAAGAGAGAGAAAAGGAAAAGAGAGAAAGAAAACGTTGTACCTAAAAATGATTTGAGTTGGAAAGACGAGATCCAGTTGTTCTACTGACTATTTAATAAGTTATAGGTATCGCGCCTAATGCTTTCTTTATTGCACAGAATACGAGCTAAGTAGGGTATGGTGCAGTTTTTGTACTTGCTAGAGTGAGCATATAGTTTTCTATACAGGCTTCTATAACACTATACGTAAATAATTGACTATCCTAAAATACTTTCTATATTATTACCTAATTGCAACTATTTTATGATCGAAGAGGGTACGTATTCTCACGTCTTATAGCTAAACAGATGTACACTAGACTTTAGGTCCTTTGTTGTCATTTCTAGCATTCGTTCATTGATTATTCCCTTGAGTTTCGAGTGAAACAGTGCTAAAACAGTACGTCTCCATTTCATCCTCTTCCCTGCTGTCTTTTTAAATGGTTCCATTATTCCCACGATTTCCTCTCCATGTTACCTCTGAACCCACGCCGAATTCGTCGTTTTCCACTCGAGCGAAGGCCTGGCACATGATGTCACCAAACAGTCTCCTAAGTGTGTGTCCAGTCTAGCTTTTTACACCATTTAAGATTCATTTTATTTTGCTGAAAGCGTGAACCACATGAACGTTTCAAATAAGTTCACAGCATCATTTGATGCAATCTCCTATTATTCACAAGGATCCGAAACACCAAACAAATCACTCATCCATTCAACTTGATTTTAGAGGTGAAAACATTCTAGCAATAGTCAACAAAAGATTGAGTACGTCACTAGACAGAGTGTACCTGCAGCTAGCTAAGTTGGTTCCCGTCTATCGGGGCAACATGCTCTTTGGTGCAGTCAAAAGTCGACAGATACCCTCCTCATGTTAACTCCAACTGTGTATACAAATTTACGTGTATCTGCGGGAGCGGTTACATTGGGAGAACAGAAAGAAGGGAACACCTCCGATTTTCTGAACATGTACCAAAAAGTTCACGTCTCAGTGGAACAAACGCTTACACTAGTGCCATTACCAGGCACCTCCTTGATACAGATCATGAGATGGAAATTGCGAAATCTATTAAAATTATCAATAGACTGACTGTTTTTAACGTAGAACTTCGCATCGATGTGCAGCAGTTCCAGAGAATAAAATAAAAAGAAATGCAAAACACAGACAGTGGACAGAGATATGAGGCAAAAAGAATAGTAATATCAAAGAACAATTTAGTTTTATTGGAAATTATAAATTACAAGGAGTGGAAGTACCTGCGCCAGCCATTGAGAACGATCACTTTGAGCCATATCGCCAATTGTCTCTAACCATTAGTTTTTACCTTCACGACGACCCCAACTATTCAGGAAGTCTACACCTCCCTGCTTGACTGGCTGGCTTAAACTAACTGTTGTGGATTTATTTCATTGACTGATGAAGCCATATTTTGGTTTGACCACCACCAGCTCTTTTCCAACCTGTTCCATCCTATGTCAGCTAACATTGCCTGTCGTCGAGGAAGGCAATGGATAGGCATGCGTAACACATGTCCTAACCATCTCAGTCGATGTAGCTTTACAGCCTCGTCTATTGATTTCCCCTTCTTACATAGTACTCAACGCCTAACCTCAATATCGGTCAATAGACAAAACATGAAGATGATCGTATGGCCTAATCGTCATTTTAATTGGTTTCTTTCTTAACCTGTATGACTGAACTACGCCTTAAAGCAAAAGATCCCTTATTCAGCATTTTCACCATGAGCAAATGGTCTAGCTAAACTATCTTTGGTATATCAGATCACACATTCTATATTTAGTTCATATATGCTAGTCTACAGAGTTCTGCTTTCATTGAGTTCCGAGTGGAACACACCGGGGTTTCAAGCTTTCAGTTTTCAGTTTCAGTAGTGGTGTTGTTCTACATGGGATAGAAATCCTAACCTCATGCCTAACCTTCCATTTTTTTCTAGCTGGACTATGCTTAGCAGTGAGTCAACGGGAAATCGAGTGCAGACTTTGTGTGCCACTAACAAGCATTCTATCACCGACACAATGTATAGGGAGTAATTTGGTAAAATCACATTTTATTAGAACTGAGCCTATATATATATCCACTTAATGTATTTTAATTACATTGCTTTTCTTTTCCTTTATTAACAGCTTGCTTTAGGTATTGGAATGGTCTATGCTTTAGATATAGATCAAGCCTTTGGATTATTTATGAGTTCAACTATACCAGCTGGTGGATTGGCCTACTTACTAACTTATCTAAGTCATGGAGATAGACAGTTATCTGCAGCGTTATCATTAGTATCAAGTCTATGCAATTTAGGTAAGTATGTGTGCGTGTGTGTGGAATTACGCACTCATATGTTTCATCATTAATAATTACTAATGATGCTTACTAGCGACTAACCCTATTCAGGTAGGTAGTTACCTGGGGTTCTAGTGGGAAGCCGTGACCAGTGGGGTACAGCAGGTTGAAAGTGAGGCAGTAACTCATCAAAGAGCATATTCCGAAGTGGTCGCGCCATATCATGAATTGGCAGAAGTTAGAATTCATGGACTGGCCATTGGGTCGGGTCCCAGTGGCTTAATGGTCTACGAGCTCGCTAGCCTTGTAACAAGCAGGTCCTGGGTTCGAACTCCTTGTGGTGGATGCGTACTGCTGAAGAGTCCAAAACTAGGCAGACAAAATAGCTGTCCAGTATTCCCTTGGTTCTCTAACTGATGTCAGCTCATGATGAAATCCTTCAACCAATTACTAATAGGTTGGAATAATTTAGTTTCCAATATATGGAAGTTGTGTGCATAGAAAAGAACTACGAACTTTAAGACTAACTGTAGTTACTGCTACTTATCAGTGAGTTTAGCGAAATAAAGTCTACCAGGTAGTCACTTCCAGATGTGATTGTTATTTTAATCCAAGCTTCCACTTCAAATCAAATCATCACTCTAACAACATTGACATCTTTTTATCAACAAAAAAAGGAAAAAAAGAAATTCCATTTCTGATCGTCTCATCAACAGACATGAAGAGTTGTTGATCTTTGTAAACTACATCAGTAGAAGCATCTTTCGACAGACTACTAGACACTTTTATCAACAGCTGCATTCGTTGCAACAAGGAAATCTTGTGATAAGCCATCCAAGAACCTATCGCTAAACAAATATGGAGATGGATTGGATGCACGATGAGGGGACTGCTGAGCGATATCACACGCTAAGCCATCGCTCGAATGGAACCTGAACGGGAAACGATGATTTAGGCATCCGAAGGAGGACTGCAGAGAACGGGATGAAATGAAGGTGCTCTGTTGAGGCTCTATGCTCCTCTCAAAACCCAACGGAACAATAATAATAGTAATAATGGTAATGTCAAATGATATCATATATATATATATACTAAATATTCCCATAGTAAAATTTAGAACAACACATTTAAGAGAACAATAGTGTCTTCAATTAGATCTCATTAGGCTTAACTCTAATATACATAAGTTTACAAATAAAAATTTCAAATGTAAACCAATCATGGTGTTTTGTCCATAGGATAATAAGATGGTGAATATAAATTGTGTAATTAATCATAATAGTAGTAATGATAATAATAATGGTTTTATCAATAATAAGGATGAAAAAGTGAGGCAACCTGTGATAACACGAATAATGAAAAAACAGCATGATTAAATAAACAAATGTTCAGGTGGAAGTAGTCGATAAAGGCTAGACAGCTTAGCCAACGTGTAAGTGAACATCTCCCATCGTGATTTGGCAAAGGACAGACAAAAACAATTCGTAGCTCAATTTTGTCATATTTAATTGATAGTGGTCATGTAGTGGAGAAAACGAGAGCCTTCAAAGTAATTCATCGTATCCCACCGAATCTTTCCAATAGACTTCGTATTCGTCTACTGCACACAGCTGAGGCGATAGGCATTCGAACTATTAAACCTAAACTATGCATTCAAAAGAAGTTCGTACAGTCATTATCCCTCCCTTGGCGAACTAATGACTTCTACACCACCCCTTGTTTATATTTTCAACCCCTTTCTTATCATCCTTTAATCTTATCACATCTTCATTATAAACGTGTTTCATTTCCTTCCCTTACAATCCAACATTAATTAATCAGTTCATTTGTTTTTACTAGGCTTTATTGACTACTTCCACCTGAACATTTGTTTCTCTAATCATGTTGTTTTTCATTATTCATGTTATCACAGATTGCCTCACTTTTTCATCCTTATTTTTGATAAGACCATTTCTATTATTACTACAATTATTATTATCAATACTACTATTATGACTTATTGCACAATTTATATTCACCATCTTATTATCCTATAGACAAAACACCATGATTGGCTTATATTTGAATTTTTATTTGTAAACTTATGTATATTAGAGTTAAGCCTTATGAGATCTAATTGAAAACAATATTGTTCGCTTAAATTTGTTGTTCTAAATTTTACTATGGGGATATCTTATATATATATATATACCTTCTCTTACTTAATTGGTTCTTATGTTTACATCACATACCCCTCACGATCATCTGTGAAGATATAATGATGGTTAAATGAATGAGGAAGCCCTGTTTATCGTAACTTTTTTCATAAATGGAGCACTGGGTTTGAGCCTCAGTGGGAACACCATCACTCTTACAGGGGAATGCAGATACATCCAGTGTCTGACGAATACTAAATAAGACGAAATGCGCGTTGTCCTGGATTCCACTGCTCGTCACCATCCACTCACCGGTTGACTTCAAGTTACATGATCAGATATCGCTGAAGCATCTGCACAAGCAAATGACATGTCAACCTAAGGACCGAGCACTTTGGACTAATTAATCGACGGGAAAATCTAAGCTAAATTAAATAAATCAACATTAAATTACTGTCTCTTGGTATGTGCAAGTGCTGGAATACTGGCAGGGTGCCCAGAATGAAGAAGGTGCTTGTCATAAGGGACCACTCTCCGAGCATTTGACTTGATGCCTGAACCACAATGCGGTGTAATATAGCTTCAGGAGCTTTGTTCGCATAGATGCTGGTGACCCAAAACAGTTTCAAACATCATTCAATTCTTACGGATTCTGGAGCTCAAGTACAGCATCAGTTTGGAGTCAGAGTTTTTCAGCTGTCCTAGGTAGACACGAATGTCCACCAGTTAGTCCGGTTGTAAGTGTCAGACATTCTCATTTGTCCTTTCACTATGTGAGGAACGCCCCCTTCCCTCCTACTTAGATAAATTGTATACATCTTAACAGTTCGAAAAAATAAGGCATTAGAAACTTGCAAAATAAAAACAGAAAAACTTAAGCATCAAGAATTATGGATTAATAATTGCCTAATACAAGGTTGGTAGTCTTTGTAACTTTTCTTTAAAAAAGTAACTCCAGTTTATATAAGATGTTAGAAAAACATTTATTTTAAGTTTATTGTGGGATAATCGAAGCGAGACAAGTGACTAACGTCACACGCAAAACTGTGGGAATATTGTCTCCTTGTCATATTAAAACGATGTCATAATTTTCCGCCTACTAGGATGAATTCATTTTAAGGCAGCTTTGACGCATCACTAAGAATGGTCCATAAAACAAGAAAAAATATTTGTGTGCGTGGGACTTATTTTCATTATTGTTATTATTATTCCCTTGAGTTCCAAGTGGAACATAGGGATTGATTTCCGATTACTAATCTCACTAAACAGCACTGATGAGAAGCTACGAAAAGTATGTTGTTTTCTGAACTGTATCTTCAGACTCATATAAAGTAGGATTCTACACCATTATGGACACAGTATTACCTTTCAAAACTACACCTAACAAATAATAATGTATGCTTACACTATGAGATATTTCAAGTAGTAATGAAATGACCACGAACTTCTTTCATGCATTATTTTATACTACTTGTAAGTAGTCAGAGTAATTTGTGAACATTTTAGCTACGGAGCAGATATCTAATATGTATAATTTGTAGCTCTTTTTGAATAAATGAATCTGTATATGTCTTATGAGACATGTCATTCATGTCAAGTTATAAATATATCCTCATGATGATTAGAATTTCATTCAGAACTTCTACCTGAACAACACCTACATCTCTAGCCACAAATACCTTCAATCATTTGGACACTAACCTTTATTTTTCCCCTCTCTCTCTTTCAGTGATCACGCCAGTCTGGGCAATGACAGTAGGCTGGTATTGGTTTAATCGTCCGATAAATATTGGTAAAACATTCGGCTGGTTATTGCTTATAGCCGCAGCACAAAGTTTAGGCACTTTAGTAAGAGGATGTCGACCTGGCCTAGCACGTGCAATCTTAACTTGGGTAACCAGACCACTCCTGTTATTATCTGGTATACTGCTGGTTACCCTAGGAGTATATATTAATCATTATGCTTTCAATGAAGTAACACAAAGCTTAATTTTAGCCTTATTAACACTGATAACTTGTGGATTTGCTGTTGGTTGGCTAGTAGGCATACTGATAAAACAAGGGTGTACAGGATCACGAACATTATCTACAGCATCTTCAGTATTCAATGGTCTAATATGCATGCCAATGCTTAGAACATGTGTACATGCACCAGAAGGTGATTTGGCGGCTGTTGTTGCACTATGGACAATATTTTTTGCACCTATTCCACTCGCATATCATGCAGCAGTTACAATTATGGAGGTAAACTTTATTCTGCTATTATTGTGTTATTACATTAAATTAAATTTCTTTCAATTAATTAACCAGCAGTCAGTAGGTCCTGATTACTGGGTGAAAATTTGTGGCGAAATTCACACTGGGATCAGTGAAAATTCCAAAATTCTAGACATTGTGGGATTTTGGTGTTAATCGACAAAGTGTGTCCAGGAATATAAGTGCAGATAGGCAGTGTGCTCAAAAATATTCCATTCCTTTGTGTTCCCAGTGGTCTCAGGTTTTTTAGGTTTCAGTAGAAGGGGTGTTATTTTAGCGGGATGGAATTGATAGCCTCACGCCCAGCCTTTCCATTCCTCAAGGCTTATTTCTGGCTAGCCAGCTAGTTGAGGCTTGAGAGCTCATTGGTGGGGAATCGGATCCTGGGACATGTACGTGGTTATCAAAATACAAACTTCGTAGAGCATGGGTATGAGATTCAAGAGATCCAATTCAGTAATCTGGCAGAGATTTATGTCTTACATTCTTGGCTGCACTTCACAATAAAAAAATGAACACATCTATACCGCACTGGTACATTTTGAGCAATATCATCAAATCCTTCCACGCAAAATTACCTAGTCACTCAAGGTCTCCAGGTAGATAGCTTAGACCCCCCTATGATGATTGATTGATTACATAAAACTAAAAAAGGGTCGATTAAAGGCAGATATTTTACACATAATCAAAGCCCACAACTTGATTATTACATGGTTGGAGGCAATTAGTAGAAAGCCCAGCCTGACCTAGATTTCGTGCTTCTCGGCACTCACCATCAGTGAGAAATGCATATATGCAACCCTAAAGGAACTCATGTCCCTTCTGAAATTCGAACCTGCGTCACCCAGTGCTGAAGTCAGTCAGAGAAGTTACCACTGAGCTATTCGGACTTACAATTGACCTCCTGCAGGACTGTATTGAATACTTTGATTGTCTAGTCTTAGTTTTGGTGCAGACTGAATTCTATCAGTCAACTTTGCAATGTGATCACCATGTCACTAGGTGGTTGAAGATAATCAGCTGCAGGAAGCTCTGGACCTAGATTTCGTGTTTGCTTGCATAGTTACTATATCTTTATTATTTATCAGACATCATTAAATTAAATATTCGCTCTTTTTTCTCTCTCACACTTCTTATCCAGAAATGGTTAACAAGCTACTTACAGAATAGAAGAAAGAAACGTGAAGAAGAAAACTGTATGGCTGCTATGATCAGTGGGAAACAGCACGAGTTCAGTGCGACTTCTGTTGCTGCTGTAGCAGCTGCAGCGATCGCAGTAACACCGGCTATCGCAGCTGGAAACCAACAGCGAACCAGCAAAAACAAAAACTCCACGACATATTCAGAAGAGACAATGAATAATGATTACTACAATGGAATCAACAGTCCGCCAATAACAACAACAACGACAACAGCGGCAAAGAAAACCTCTTCAGATACTGTCACCACACCGACTAGTTCTATGGATCATCCTTTAGACTATGACAACTATTTAGACACTTCTGGACTACATGGAGTGCATAACATGTACAATGACCATTTCAAACCGGTTGATGATAATGAATTAAAGCAGAGTATATTGGCGGCTAACAATGAAATAATGCTCAATAGCTATAAACATAGACCGCCAACAGTCTTTGAAGGACAGCAAACACGTGTTAGAAGAGCTAATTGGCTCACAGATCCTAATAATCATGTTAACAGCAAACAAAACAACAACAACAACCTGAAGAAATGAATGAATCTGCAGAAACAGGACATCTGAGAACATCTCAGCTAAACGATCGTATAAATGCTGATTCACGAATGTTCATTGCGCATAACAACAGTGAAGTCATTTCAGAACAGCAAAACGATGGTGAGTATGCATCCAAAACACGAAAAACAGGATTAAAAAGATCCAGTGTTCAGCCGACTGTAAAAAATGCAGCAGAAAAAGATCAACGACATTCTGTTCATGTATCTCCACCATATACAAACCTGTGATCCTTATGATTATCAGTCAGATTCAGTTTACAAAAAAAAAACGAAAGAGAACATAAATAATAACGAGACTGGAAATCACTGGTCATAACTGTAGTTAGCAAACTGTAAAAATAAGGAAGTGTTTGTAGTGTTAAAATGGTTAAGTAGTTTCTCACAAATATGACTCTATTTCTTTACTTTTTGCTGAGAAAACCACTTATTTAATTTCTTTCAGATAAAAAAACGATATATATATGCATAAATGCGCAAGCTTTCTTTTGATTTCTACATCAAAATGTTTTACCAATCAAGTGGTTATTTTAGTTAATCAGTTTGAGGTATAATGGAGTCGGGTGAAATTAGGAGGTTAAAGGTCATCAAAACAACTAACTAACAGATTGGTTACAGGATTTCATTATGAGCTGACATCGGTTAGAGAACCATTGGAAAGCCACCATGGAGTACTGGATAGCCAGCTGTTTCGCCAGACTAGTTTCAGACTCTTCATCAGTACGCACCCACCCCAGTGGAGTTCGAAACACAGGACCTTCTGGTTGCAAGGCTAGCGAGCTTATAGACCATTGAGCCATTGGTTCCCCATCCACTCGCCAGCCCATGAATTATAACTTCTGAAAATTCACGATATAGCGCGACCGCTAGCCACCGTCTTCAGCGAGTATTTGTCCTCACACCATCCAACTTGATGCACTGGTAACTAGTGACCGATCAAAATTCCACATTAATTTGTTTATTAGATATATATCACACAGTGATGAAACAGTACTATTTATTAGATTAGATTTTCAAACACACAAACTCTAAGGTGGAGGCAATTCAATTCACTTATGAATCAGAAAGTCAAGAAGGGGAGCTTCCAATGCTAGATTCTAGCGTAAAAAGGAAAGAAGATGGGGAGTCAAACAATAGTGTTTACAGGAAACCCACATATTCAAGCCGGTATTTGGATTTCCGAACATCCCATCCTATGTCAGTAAAAATAGGATTGGTGTAATGTTTAAGTAATAGGGCACAAAGACTAAATAGTACCAGGATGTGAGGCATACAAGAAAAGCTTTGAAACTTAATAATTACCCTGATAAATTAATCAGGTAATATGTAGGGAAATGTAAAAATAAAAATGAAATTAATAATAAGAGTAGTGATAGTGATGATGATGATGATAATAATAATAACAATGATATTGATGACGACATCCATGTCAAACATGCACAGAATGATGACAACAATAAACAGTAGGGAATTTAATTATCCAGCAGTAATGTCATACAAAAACCGAACCTCGGAAACCTTACGTAAAATCTTTAACAATGCAGGCAGGAATAAAAGTATCATTCAAACTCATTTAGAAACAAGTCTTGTCAGTTAAAGAATTCTATGGAGCCAATTAGGCAAAACAATCTAGTTTATTTAATATCCTGCTGGAATGATTGTCAGATAAAACACATAGGTCAAAGAAGTAGAAAGAGGGTCAGTGAGACTAGTGGAGAACAAAAGCCTAGCACCGAAATCCGGATCAGCTGACTCTAATAAGATAACAAATCTTGAGAATAGTTCAGTCATGGCAGTACATGCAATTACACATAATCATACCATAGGATGAGATAAGATGACAGTTTTAAAATCTAATGTCACAGGGTGGAGGGAGAGATTGGTAATGCAAGCTTTACTTATCGAATCAACTGAAAGAACGTGTAATAAGAATGATTCAACAGCTGTCCACCCGGACATCTAGAAAATTTTACTACCCCTACAACGACGAATAGGAAGGAATAAAGAAAACTATAAAACGAAAGTTTCAAAGTTGTGTAGTAGTTATAACTGATATTTTATTTTATTTTTTTTATTTTGGTTACTGCTTGATGCCACACCGTATTTTCAGTACAAGTATGGAATTTTCAGCACGGATATCGGTAGCCCAAATTTTACAGGCCGACCATAGATATCGGGTGTGCGTCGGCAGGGGATCGAACCTCGGACCATGTGCATGGTCGGCGAGAGTCCTAACCACTGTGCCACTGAACGGGAATAAATTGTGTTCGGAAAGTTACCTAGTATATAATACTGTTTCATTGTTTGATATATCTAATAAATAGATCATTCTGGAATTAAGGTTATTGAACTTTTCACAACCAGATAAAAGGCATACGTTTGAGGAAATTATTAAGTTTATAAAATTCGAAAAAAAAAATAGTCGTCAACTGAACCCAACAAAGAAGTGTTACAATCAACTTTTACTGACAATTTCACATACAAAAAAAACCGGTAGACAGGTTTGTCGGAAATCTACTTAACGCATAGCCACTGATAATGAGAGATTTAAACAAAAGAATCTAAATTTTTATTGGCAAGTATTCTTGCATCATTTTTCATCGGCGGCGTGTGTTTGAACACAGTGGAGATCACCATTCATTGAATGTCGTCATCTGGAAACACCGGCTCCGGTGGCTTGGACATGTGCTGCGAATGTCACCCCAGAGGCTTCCGTACAGGTCTCTGTTCGCTAGCCCTGGGACGGGTTGGAAAAGGCGGAGAGGTGGTCAGCCCATGACGTGGCGTCGTGGGATGAAGGATATTTGTGCTAGATTAGCATCGGTTGGTGTGTCACGACTCCGTGGTTGGGGTCTGAGAGATAGCTCAAATCGATGGCTCGAAACGTTATCGGATATGGCCAAGAATCGTAATCAATGGCGAATGTGTTGCGATTTCCTTCTTTCTTCCATTCCCGATGATAGTTAACGAACACTGTTTGAACCTGTTAAGAATGAGTGTTTTCCTTCCAGATGATGTTCATTGTTCGTTCTCTACTTATATATATTTTTTCTTTTCCTGCCTTCCTTTTTTTTCATCTATGTTGTTTTATTATTATTGTGTGGCGCATCCTTCTTGGTGCCATATTGTACCAAGTTTTAATGCGTTTAAATAAAATAAATAAATAAATAAAATTTCATCGGCCACAGAACAAACACATTAGTAAGCAAATCTTGAGGTAGGGGTAATCTTTAAGCGTAACCAGGTTAAATAACTGTTGAATCTGCATCACGACGTGATATCACTGGTGCTTGCATAAGATATAACCAGTCATCAGAAACTTTAACGTGTGATGCTGCCTGAATTAAGCCTAATTTTTAGATGTGATTCAAGAAAAAAACGATAGAGAACTCACACTGTAAGATCGCATGAGTTCAGTCAAAATAAGATAGAGTTTCAGTTTAACTGAAAATTCGAGAAATCCTACTGACCTATAATATTCTGTAAATTTGACCTCGGCAACCAGTTACCATTGATTCAAATAGGGAAGTAGAAATCCAAAGAACTGTAGATACTGAGACGAAATACAGTACTCAACCAAAACAACTTATTTTTGGCTCATTTTCAACATAAAGTCACGATTCCTGGGTGAGCTATGTCATGCTTTTCTACTCTGAGATAAATCGATTGACATAATAATCTTTAAAAAACATCCTACATAATGTTTTGCAATCGTCAGGGTGTATGTCTGTTACCGCCTGAGTTTAAAAGATTACCTAACATAATACGCAGCAAACTATGTAAAATACGCGATAATTCACGAGGAATAAAGTAGATTCCGTTCATTTTGTGCATGTAGTGATCACATGCCCACCAACTGAATGACTGTCTGGTTTCAACGTAAAACTTCGCACAGATGTCCAGCAGTTCCAGTTGCCACACTCCATGTAGCAAGAGAAGACAGTAAAGACAGATAATAAACAGAAGAATTTTATTGTATATGATAAATTATGAAGAGTGAATGCATCTGCGCCATCACTTAGAACGATTTTGAGCCACATCAGCGACTGTCTCTAGCCATTGGTTTTTACCATCCCGAGGATCTAAACCAGTGAGGAAGTCTACACCTCCTTACGTGACTGGCTTAAAATAATTGGTTGCTTAAAACCATGTAGGTGGAGGAACTCAAACTTTCTTCCCAGTAGTCGGCAGTCGAGTGTCTGGGCGAGTGAGCTACAACTCTACACAGCTAGTTATTGCCACAGCAACATCCAACAGACTGAATCAAATTCCGTTTTCACGTCGACAAAGATGACGTTTTCGACAACAGTAAGTATGCCTGTGTTCTTAATGCACCCTCTCCCAAACCTAAAACTTGCATTGCTTTTGAATTCACTTTTTCCGGGGCCCACTTAGTGTTTGTAGGACTATGGAATTCAGAATCAGACATATTTTTAATCAGGTGCATTAACGTGTGATAATTATAAAGTATGGTCTATGGTTTACACAAAACAAAGGATTCTCACACATTAACGGGCACCTTATTTAATTAGTGAATAGTTTTTCACCATCATCCTGACACATTTCTGGAATCAGATGATTAATTCCAGATAGGAAACAGCCTTTGCAACTACGGCTAGAGTTCCACATCTCATTCACCGTGGGGTTGGATGGACGACTACTGAAGTTTAACTCCCCCTCCCTCAAGTCATTCTTATGAATCTCACGTTTTTCACTGGTTCCGTTTACCAATCTTCCTAAAGATCTAATACTGAGTAAGCCTGAACAGATGACTCGTGAAACTTAGTATTGGTACCTTCTCAGTGTTTCTGGCTTTTGAAAATCATCAATGGTCACAGTCGCTGGGAATTTTGTAAGTCAGCTGGAGTTTAAGCACCCACTGCTCCTCATTATGTTTTCAACCCGTCATTATTTGCTTCTTTTCATCTATTACACTCTATAGGTCTACAGAGAACAAGTGCTTTTCCCAAAAGTTCGCTTACAGATTATCAGCCATCCTGACGTTTCAGTAACTGGACTTTCTCTATTATCTGTTTCCTCAGATTAGTGGATGTTAACTGACATTATACCGCATAGACTACTGATGTAATAAAGCAGCGGAACCGACTTTATGAAATACTTCGTAGCATTTTGGGTTGCTCGCTAGCTGACTAACTGACCTACTAGGTTTCAACATAGAACTTTGTACAGAAGTGTAGCAGTTCAAACTCCATGTAGCACACAGAGGTAAATTGAGGAGAAAACATGGAGATCCAGGAGGATTATGATGGGAAGAAATGTACAGCAAAAGGAATAGTGACAAAAAAGCATAAGGGTTTAATAGATACATGAGATTAAAAAGAGTGAATGCATCTGAGTCGCTGACAACGATTTTCATCCCTGTCACCAGCAGTATCAATCCACTAGTCCTCAGCATCTCAAATAATCTGTCTACACCTGCCTCAGTGGCTGACTTAAGCCAACTGTTACAGACTTCATGGATTAATGCCAGGTTTTAGTTTGACCGACTCTAACTTTTTTCCAACCAAGTCCCATGACAGCTAACATTGCTCGTTGAGAAAATCATTGGCCCGGAATTCGCAACATTTTGCTCCCAGGAATTTCCCCAACACACCACAATATGTGAGCGACCTCCAAAATACACTTCCTAAGGAACCTTAAACACTGAAACATTAAAAGACAAATTTTATTTAGAAACGCTCTTCATTAATCTCACACATCACTCAAGGTATTCAAAGTAATAATTACCTGTGGGTGCAAAATATAAACTCTCCCGCTATTGTTTACAGACATGAAAGCCGATTCATAAATCGCTGAATAAAACTAACAAAATAAACATAAGCAATATGTAATCGCCATTATTTACTTTTACGAAGCAATAACATACCGTGAAAGTAGCAAAATCCGCTGAGAAGTTGTTTGCAAGCCTCTTACAACTCCTAAACCCTTGCTGCTACACCAAAATTCAAAGTAATTACTTCGTGTTTATAGACACGAATTTCAACAGCCACCTGTTGATGTTTAGCAATGGAAGTGGTTGATTTAAGTCCCTTATAAGTGAGATGGCGTAATTTGGTATTTTTTCAAACTGATTTGTCCCACTAATCTCTTCAAGTAAGTAAAAGTTTTGAGAAAAGAACTATGCAGTGAACATTCGCCTATTTTAAAATGTCATAAGACCTTACAAAAAATGCATTTAACACATTAAATACACCACACAGATTTTTAAACAAATCATGAAAATACATTTATGTTTGTCATCTTTTTATGCCTACCTCTCACAGATATTACATCCTTCACATTTTCTGTCGGTACCGTCATTTTGGAATAAAGCGCTTACCAAAACTTGATGACCTTGTTTTCAGATTTATTGATGTAGGATTGAAGGTTTGAAGCCTATGTTAATCCTTTTCTGATGGACTTCTGTGCTTGTCTAAACTCTTCATGAATGAATCAATTGAGGGTGCTGATATCACTTCTTCTTGAAGTCGGTTCCAGAAGTTTATAACTGTGTGAGAGAACTAGTACTCCAGAGCGATATTTCCAATATCCAATATCGTTTCTACGAGCTATTATAAACCAATTTGATTTTTTTGCGCTCGCATCTTGATTGTAAGGTAGAGGTTCCTGATCTTAGGTAAACGTCTGCGTAGCTCGTCCCGCCACTCGACTGTCGTAGCTTTGGTTGACTCCAAAAGGAGTAGTGCAGGGATCAATTGTATGTGGTTTGTAGTATGAAGTGTGTTAAGACTGTTACTACTGTGAATGGAGTTGATCCTTTCACCAGTTGGTCCTTCGGTATCGTCGTCAATAGAAAAGAGATAATGATAATAATAGATATAATTAGTGAGGGTATTCAGACTAACAGACAGAAAAAGAATAAGAAAACGTAACAACAGTCAGGCGACCGGTATATATATATATACCGGTAATAATGATAATAATAATAGATGTAGCTAAAGCTGTCAGGAGAGTAAGACTGAAGAGAATGTAAAGAAGTAACACGACCAGTTTACTTGTATACCTTTGAATGGTGTATGCGATTTTAAGGGGATAGGCCATTTGGATGCAGTCCTTGTGTCGCTGCATGGTTGTCCAGCCTTCGCTTAAAGGCGTCCACAGATGGTGCCATAGCTGCATCTGCCAGTAAGAAATTCCAGGGACGGCAAACCCGCAGGGAAAAGAAGTGGGAGCGCACCCGGGACCTTGCCCTCTGATGAGCTATCCTTCTAGGATTCCCACGAGGGAGCCTATACCTACTCAATGGCAGAACACCTTTGTTTGGGTGATTCTGATCATTTGTTATTTTGTAGGCAGTAATTAAACCCCCCCTAAGATGACGGTAACTAAGTGTGAATAGGCCTAATTTCTTCGGCCTTTCATCATATGGTTTATTTCGGAGACCAACCACTCCTTTTGTTGCCCGTCGCTGCACTCTTTCCAAGAGGTTGGCGTCTCTTCTAAGCAGTGGGGGTGCAATGATATTATGCAGTTCAAGGTGCGGTCTGACGTATGTTTTGTACAACCTTAGAAAGAGCTCAGGAGTGAGTGCACCTAATTGTCTATGTGTAAAGTGTATGACCACATATGCACTCGCTACATCCCCCGTGTAATTTACGCTTGTGTCCATTTTCTCCGTTAGAACTAGACCTAAGTCACGTTCTGACGTTGTGCAGGACAAGCTTTCATTGCACAGGGTGTAACTTGCATTCTGCAGTCTACAGGTGCGTAACTTCACTACTTTGCACTTTTTCAGGTTGAAAGTCATGCCACTGGTTACCGCCCAGTCTTCCAGAAGCCTTAGATCTGCCTGCAGTCTATTTGAGTCATCCGGACACTTTATCGCCCTCCATATCTTCACTTCATCGGCGTATAGAAGAGTCGGGCAGCTTAGACGGCATGGTAAATCATTGATAAAAATCAAGAACATCGGTGGTCCCAGGATAGAACCCTGCGACACTCCTGATAACGAGCTGTGCCAAGATGATCGGACTCGATTGACCTTGGTGCAAAATTGCCTTTCGGTTAGGTAGTCCTTCAACCATGACAGAAGTGGCTTACCTATACCTGCCTGGCTTATTTTGTGTAGGAGAAGGTCATGGTGAACACTGTAAAATGCCTTCTCAAAGTCTAGAAAGATCACATGGACTGGAACATTCATATCCCAGCATGATGTCCAGTCGTCCCAAGCTGATAATAAGTTAGTGACGCAGGATCTCCCTTTCTTGAAACCGTGTTGGGCTTCATGGAGTACTTTAGACCTATCGAGATATTCCCTGATGTGCTCATCAATAATACTTTCCAGTACTTCTGATACCACTGGGAGTAGAGCTACTGGTCTATAACTAGTGGGATTTTGCCTATCCCCACCCTTGAAGATCGGAGAAAGGATGCTTCTTTTCCATTCCTTTGGCAGTTTCCCCGATTCCATGGAGTTTTGGAACAAGTCGCGTAAGGGCCTACAGAGAGCTTCGGCGCACTGTTTCTAAACAGATGGCCTGATGTCGTCACAACCTGGGGACTTCCCAGGTATGAGTCGCTGCAGCTTTCTTAGTACTATTACAGGGTTTATTTGAGGGGTGGCTATTTGGTCTTCCTCCTGTGAAATAGTGATGCCACCATTTTGGTCCGTAATGGCAATACCCACATTGCTGTTTAGCTGTTTGGCGAAGTCTAATCTAAATGTTTCAGCCATCTCCAGACTAGTGAGATACTGACCGTTTTGGCCTACTAAGGCGCATGCCCCCTGGTTGGTTGGTTTTCTTTCCGACATGAATCGGTACAAATTCTTCGGGTTTGCCAGGAGTATTTTAGCAAGGTTAGCCTGGAATGACCTCTTGTTCCTCATGACTCTTGCATTGGACCGGTTCCTGAGTTCCAGGTATGCATCATGGTCGATCTGACTCTTAGATACGCGCCACGTAAACCAAGCCTTCCGCTTTGCTTGCAGAATACGCTGCGTGCCTCTCTTTAACCGCGATGACTTTCTTTTGGGCTGTGTTGTGACTAAAGGGACGGTGTCCGAGATTACTGTATGAATAATTTTTTTACCACTTCCCAGTGTTCATCCACAGACAGCTCATCCCATGCTAAGGGCCAGTCTGCATCGGACAAGAGCCTCCGCATTTCAGCATAGTCAGCCTTGCTGTAACACAGAAATGGTTGCGTAACGTCCCACTGCAAATGCTCACGGAGAACGAGATCGAAACCTATGACTGCATGGTAACTTCTTCCTAGAGGAGTCATGATCTGGACATTTTCGACGAGTAATTGGTCACTAGTTAGAATGTAGTCTAGTTTTGATGACTTTCCACTAGGGCGGTACCTAGTGTCGTCTCCAACATTCTCAGTTAGTCGTCTATTTCGAATGGTTTGCAGTAGATTTCGACCGAATTTTCCCTTAGTATACCCCGAGCCAAGGTTCAGTGATGGGGCATTGAAATCTCCAGCAATGGTGATTTGGTCATAGCCCAAGTCTACTGTCCCTGTGATAGTGCTGGGCAGAAGCTGATTGTGCTCTGCCCCACAGGTGGGAGATCGGTAGATGCCACCAAGTAAATGCTTGGTGTGGCCTATGGTGAAATGACACCATATGGAGTCTGGGAGTTCAATAAGTGGTGGGTCCGTTGCGCGCACACATTTAAGTTGCCTATCAAAGTATATAGCAACTCCCCCTCCTTCCTTATTATCCCTGTCCCTCCTGATCAAAACTATATCACCTATACTGATTTCATTATTGGAGATAGTGGGGGTTAGCGATGTTTCGGTGAGAATGATCATTTTCAGTTGTAGGTGTGCTTTGAGATTTCGGAGTTCACCTATTTTTCCTCTCAGCCCCCTCACATTGCTATATAGGCAGCTGACAGTGAGTCTTGCAACCTCAGCATGTTGTGGGGTAGTTGACGTGAAGCTGTCTGCTGGTAGGGGACTTAATGTTGGGACTAGTTGGCCAGTTCCGATGGAACCGGCCCATTGTGGCTTTTTCCCATGGATTTAGGCAGGACACTTGGGTGACTCAGACTGTTATTCTCAGAACTGCATCGCTCTAGTGTCACTGAAGCTTGGGGACGTATTAAAGCCTCAGTTTGCTGCCTCCTTATGGTTCGAGGTCTGCTTTCGCAGCATCGGATGTCCTCCCAGTTTCTCCTTGATCTCATACCACCGTTGAAGTGCTATAGCCAACTGCTCTGGGGAGTTGAATGTGACACTTAACAGCTTTGGGGAGCTAATCAGTGTGAGATGAGCGGGGCGAGGTGGTCGGGAAATGGAGATGGCTCCAGAAGCGCCAAGGGCCATCTGAGACGACAGCCATATCCACTGCTGTACGTCATGCATGTGTTTTTCACAGGCAGTGCCCGTTTCCAGCACCGGAACACCGTGTACCACCATAGAGGTAGAAGGCAAAAGTTCCGGTGACTCCCTCGCCATTTGTCTTATAGCCCATGGTCTATCTTGTCTCACCCTTATGTTCGAGCTTCTGTCGATGGCTAGTACCTGAGCCATCAATAGTACCTTTTCGGCCTCTTCGGTAGAGTCCAGTGTAACCCGTAATGGGGGTGGCTTACCTTGAGCTATGTGGACACTCCAACAAGTCTTGTTTATCTGAACGAGTGAGGAAGATGCTGCTACAAAAATAGCACCTGAAGCATTGGCAGTAGTTCTAGACAGGTGGACTTACCACACAGAGATTCAATATGTAAGTAATGGTTGAATTTAATTCACGGGCTAGGAAGATCAGGTTTCCCAAGCAGATAATTCACAAAATAGGTATTTTCCGGTTAGAGAGGAAAAAGCACGTCGTATGCAAGGAGCGCGCGTTATAATTCCTATATAATTCCTCCTTGGCTTCTGAAGTCTCCTGCTACGTCCTTTGAGGTGTTCCGGCCTGCTTAAATTAAAAGGAAACAACTGATCGGTCGGTAGTTGTTATTTAAAATTTTAAACACGGTGATATGATTTCCTTTCTGCCTACGGCATGACAAAGAGAAGAGATACATACTGTCTATTCAGTCAGCCTATGCCAAGAATCATACATGTCACCTTCCTTTGAACCATTTCTAGAATGTATAAGTCTCCTTTAAGTCAGGGACCTGCTAAGACTGGATACAGCCTTCTAGTCTTCACCTCACCAGAGATACATGTGAAGAAGTGAACATATCTCTGACTTTTCCAGTAAACGCTGTGCGTATTGCCCATAAAGATCTAGAACTTGGAGCTGCTGCGTTTCTTAAGTGGTGAATTATTACGACACTTTGGTTCATATTGACTTCAAGCTTTATTTTTTCCCAAATATTTGTAATTTATCCGACACATACTTGGGTTTTTTTGTTAATGCGAAGACAATATTTCTATATTTCT